ATCAGGTTTGTTAAAAACTGTTGCAAGCCACTTTGAGGGTTTCCGGTACTTTAGTCACGAGTTGGAAGCGATCGTATATTTTCGGTAAATTTAACACCGAGTTTAAAACGCTAATGGTATTTTGACGTTTGCTATACGTCACTCGGTAAATGTATTGGTGTTGTTTTACAAAAATTGACATAAAAAAACTGGTGGTCATAGGAAAAGTATTAATTAATTAATTAACATTAATTTCGTCGTGTGAGGGCAAATTCTTGTGTCAAATGGCAGGCAATAAACCAGCTAGGAATGAACGAAGGCGTATATTTCACAACTTAGTACTTTTCAACAAAATCATGTGCAATAAATATCCAGATTATCTTTATGACAAAATCAAATTTAGGTATGATGTACATAATTAATAATTACTCTTCCTATTCAGGCTAGTACAATGCATGAGCGATCGAGAATATTATCCAAATATGTTTTTCTGCTCCTGTCTGTAAAGTGCATACCGATCTAGCGTGCGGGAAGTGTCACTTTACACTTCAGTTTCGTTTTCCACGGATCCGAGCCACTTCGGACATTTCCGGCATTTCACCGCACGGTTTGAATTTTGACGTTTGTCAATTCTGACGGACATGTCAGTGAATGTATTCCTATTTTTTTGCAAAAATGTACCCAAAAACTAATACACAGAAAAATGTTATGCAATATATCAGACAATTTAAAAACTTCGTACTATAAGCTACAATTAAAATCTGGTGGACTAGTCGGTAAGCAAAGTGACATTTATAATTTTAGTTTACCACAGAAATACTGTCATTAAAGGCAAACTATATGAAACAAATTGAATAGAACTATGCAGATAAATGTAACAATAAAAAAGGGAGCTCAGAGTTTATTTTATTATTTATTAGCAACTTGTTCTTAAATTCAATAGGTAACATATTTCTGGTAGGGGATAATAATTATAATTTTGACATTTAGAAGAAATATTCGTAGCTTTCCTTAGTCTAATACTTAACGACCTTATCGCGTCCCATTGTAGCGTTTATATTTTTACAAGTATTTTGTCTATAATTATAAAATTTAAAAATCTATGCATGTTTGTTTAAGTATATTTGTTTGGGGAAATGTTGTTAATTTAAAATGTATATTTCTTCCTGGTTGAGATATGAGGCCAAGCTTCAACTGCTTACAATATAAAATTTCAAAAAAATCGTTATTAATTTATTTATTTATGTAATATCTATCAAACCCATATTATTTAAAACTAATTCTGAACGTTTTAACCTGTCCGTTTACGCGTGTTTCCATCGCACGGAATTACATTTATCTTATAAATACGCCACTCGCTTCCATAGGAAAGCAGTCATTAAACTCGTTGATTTTGCTTCATTATCTCGATGGACTTGCGTAATTACGGTTCTAATTTTTCCATAATAGAAATGCTGGTCGGGATGAGCATTATTTTTCGCGGGTATTCGCAGGATTTACTACGAATTAATATGAGGCTACTCGAAACGACCATTAAGCACAAATAATGTTCTTGGCCGGTTGCCAATTAAATTCACCTGAGTGTAACGCGAAGCTCAGAAACGTTTCGGTTAAATAAGATGCTACGGTGCAGCACGAAAAAAAATAGAACAGGATGTTTAAAATATGCTATTGGTTAACGCGATTTGTAAATCCGCGTCGCCGTATTTATTGACACTAGAAATAAATAAATATTCTACAACGGAAACTGTCAAGCCGTCCCACATTCTTTGCCAGGTCAACGCAGACATACCACAGGTCGTCATACTTAAAAGAAAGCAGAGCATCTGTTGAAAGCGACAAGTGTTTTCGTATACCCACTTGATTTGGGCGGTTATTATATTCTTGGATCGGTAGGAAATATTTCTTCTCGGAAAGTCCCTTTTTTACTTTGCTGTATTTTCTCTGGGGAAATTATACACCGCGAAAATGGTTACGGCATTAATACCATTTGCTACTAGCAAACGGTTACGTTTCAGTTCCCTATTTTATAGACCCTGAGAACCTATCAGTTGTTCGCCAAACCTTTTCGTTCCTCTACAGCAATTTCAAAAAGGTATATAAAAATTTTACTGGCTATTTATTTGTATCTCAGAGGTAGTCATAACCTTTATAAACAATAAATAAGTTTTATAAATGCCATACCAAAAAACGCCCCCTTTCCGCATCACCTTTTTCTATATAATTTATTCACAATATATTTTATTTCGGAAATGAAATTTTACTTTGGCATTACCATGAAAATGTATTATTAACTATTATAACAACTCTATTTTCTCTATTTCTAAGGATGACTTAATTTCATTTGGCACAAAAAATTGTCGAAAATTTTCGTATTTTATACTTCCTAAAACTGCTCGCTTTCAACGCTTTTAAAGGTAATTTTGGTAAAAATCTGAAAGTTAAAGTTATGCCTAATGCATTTTTTTTGCAACTAAAATACAGAATCTTAGTCTCATTTTTAGGAAAATTGGTTACTTTTTTATAAAGATATTTATGAAAATTAGAAAACAAAAAACGGTTACCGCCGAATTAAAGTACGCCATATTCAGATTCGCCTTTTGAAAACTTACTTTTATATTAAACAGCTTGGAAACTAACATAACATTTATATTCTTTTATAACACTTACAACACTTACCGAGGTGTCTGATAAAAATATTATTGCTCTAGCAATAAAATCTAAGGTGTTTTTGAAATTACTTATAATTTTATCAGTTACCAAAAAGATACTTTTTACAAAACTTGTGGATTACTCCTGCGTCGGTTTTTGCTGAGTCGAACTTGCTGACGTTTCGCCAATCATCATGTTTGCTTCTTTAGAGTTTGACTGAACTGAAACTGAAACTCAAGTCAAGCTCGGAAGAAGCCAATAGAATGATTGGAGAAACGTCAGCAAGTTCGACTCAGCAAAAACCGACGCAAGAGGAATCCAGAAGTTTTGTAAAAAGTGTTACAGTAGCCTGTGGAAGTTTCTTTGAAAAATTACCAAAAAGATATTTATAAACATCTCCGCAACCGGTATAAAACTGGGCCAATGTCGACTATGCAATCCGTAGATAATAGCTATAAGGGGGATGCAATCATAAACTTACTTTTCAGTTGTTTATTTATTTGACTTTGGAATAAGTGTGCTTAGTTTTTTATAAATATCTAGATAAAGTTTAGCTTTAACGAACGAAACGAAAGGTGTTGGCAAAACAGCACCATCTTTTACGGTTGTTCCCAGCGCATATGGGTTATAAAATTGTAGAAATGTAAATTTTGTAAGGATATTACTGCGTAAGTTATAAAACCCAAAGTGCAAAGGTAGAGACGAGTGGTATAAAACCTTTATAAAAAAATATGAAGTAACCATCACCAAAGATTTTACAGATAAAATAACGGAAACATGTTGGAAGCAATAGTATAAAACGTAGAGTTTTGGTATAGTTAATAAAAACCAAGTTTCATAATGAACACCCTACAAATATCCGTTACCTTAAAATAAAACGTTAAAGTGCGAAAAATGTTAGATGGAAGATATAGTTATGCAGGCCCTGCCTAATGCTGATAATAATGGAACTTGCTCACAACTTACTTTCAACTAGCAACTAACCAACCAACTTTGCCGCGTTCCTCTATTTGACAGCTTCTACAGATCGCTGTTCAGATTGTTAAATTATTAGAAACATTCATATAAAATTAGAGAATTATGATCAATCAATGTATCAATGTATTTATGCGGAACAGAAAATTGTCCAACGCTCCTAGGTCATCACTTTGGAACTTAAAAAAAATATATTATTTTAAAAATCTGTTTTCAAATTGGGCATACATATTTTTAACACTAAAAGGCATTTTTGGGGAAAACATAATTTTTAAAATGTTTGCAAGTAGAAAACACAAGGGCCTTCGACTTATGATTTTCAAAAAATGGAAAAGTACGCATAAAAATAAAAATTATTTTGAAAGCAGAATTCTCATGTGCGTTTTGTACGTAATGTTCAGTTTTGACTATTTCTTATTAAAGTCAAGGCAATTACTGAAAAAAATACTTCCAAAAATTTATTACTTGTAAATAAGAAGTATCAAAAAATATTGTGGTCTCTCTATTTTTGGTGTCTAATTTTCTTTTAACTTCAAACACCTTACGTCACCATTGAATCACGTAGGCAGTAGAAACAATTAATATGCCTATTCGTACAATTTTGTAAGAATAATTGCAAGTGTAATTACGATCAATTTGAAATGCAGATTTCAATGTTGTGCGGTTATTTTAATTGCGAGGCATACCTACTACTAGTGCGTATATGTTCGAGTCTGCCCACAGCAGAACGTAGCTGGTAAACTAATCTAGAAATAACTATTGCTTTTTGATTTGTAATTGTATCGCACATTCCAGTGTTTACGAATATCAAAACTATTCGAGCTTTAACTTGAAAATTTTGAAATTTGTAATCAAAACTACGAGAATTTGAAATCTAGTCTAACTTCATAGCAACTTAAAAGTGAATGGAGAAATTTTTTAACTTTAATCAAACTCTTGAAGTGTTCCATGTCAAATAAAATTCGCTTTTTACATTCTATAGGCCAGTCAAATATCTAAAAAAATACTTGTCAACTCGACCTGTTAAATAGGTTTTTGGATAAGCAAGATTTATCAGTTGAAAAAAGGTTTTCGTGAAGAAAATTCCCATTTGTTTAGTAAATTTACGCACACACAACTACTTCATCAATATATTTAGTTACAGTTTATTAGTTGCTCTTAAATCCTACCGTTTGCTATTGGGTCCTAATTAATAATTCACCAAATTTTTACTCACATTCAGATATACTTTTATAAGAATCTATTTCATTTCTATACGCATTCCTAGATACCGTTAGAAAAGACAATATTAACATTCGATGTGCGTCTAATTAGCATAATAACAATAGCCAATTATGATAAGAACTTTTGTGTGAAAAATCACACTCTACTCTACCCCTAAACGTATCCTTTACCTGCATCGTAGACCTTTTAACTTCGATATATAGCCAATTGTCCGTGGCAAAGGCTATAGCGAGAAGCGCTACGGCGATGATGGAAGTAATCGTAGCCAAACTTAACGTAACCGCGGAACAAGGCATCTCGACAGTCGGAATCAAACAAAATTGAGCACCAAAAAAACACTAAACCGGCACAAAACTATTGCAGGAATCAGCTACGGTTCATTTTAGTCCGAATAAATGCTCGCAGACGGATTCGATTGCCCAAAATCCAGCACGAAAACCGAATGGTACCGAGAACTGCCCTGAAAGTAGTTCTTCGGATTGCCCCGAGTGACTGCGAGGAAATGAAACATAAGCGAGAAACAGGTTTTACCTGTGCGCAAGAAAGCTGGGAAGAACGCGGACAATTGCTACGATTTGTGTTGTATTGCTGGTTGCCGGGCGACAATTACACGGCGTGAGTAATGCCGCGATTGATTTTGGACAGGTGGTTCCAAATACAAACAAAAGGGGTGTTTGCTAATTATTTACAAAGCCACGGACAAGCGGCAACTGGAACGGATATTGGAGATTTTAACGCGCCGTTAGGCAACAAACATGTAGAACGATAAAATGTATTGTTTTAGTGAGTCGAAATGTGCTCCTAATATGCTGCAAGTAGTCGAAGAGTGGGAGAATTTATGTCCATGTCCAGGGCAACCATCGATAATAGAAAAGCTGCCTTAACAATGCGATAAGTTTTCTCGTGAAAACCATAGGAAACTTCATGTTTGACTTTCACTGTAAACTGTTTACGAGGACAATTTTCTAGCAGTTTCCAGTTTGTCCGCGCTGTGGTTATATTACCAAATACTTCGAGAAACGTATAATTTCCTCAATACAGAAAAAATAGGTATATGTATATTTTTTGCTACTCCTTAACTCTTAAATAGTCAGTCGTGAACTGACATCAGGTGCAATAGTATTTTATGCAACAAGTGCGGTTAACGGCATTTAACCATGAGTATATTTGGCACCAGCGGTGCGACTGCTTAATAAACGACTGAGATAGAGTTTACCAAACGTGTTGCAAACTATACTTTACTATACACGTAGTATTTAAATTGTCTGATATATTGTGTAACATTTTACTGAGTATTAGTTTTTGGGTACATTCACTGACATGACCGTCAGAATTGACAAACGTCAAAATTCAAACTGTGCGGTAAAATCTCCGAAAACATCCGATTGTTCCCTAACCCGTGCGGTAAAATCCCGGAAATGTCCGAAGTGGCTCGGATCCGTGCGAAACGAAACTGAAGTGGTAAAGTGACGTTTTCCGCACGCTAGATCGTTGTGTAATTAGACATTTTACAGACGCGAATAGAAAAAGAATATATACATATATACGTCAAGCTTCATAAACCACTTTGGCGCGCCACTTCGGACTTTACCAGTCTACTTAGCCGCGAGTTTGGAAGGAGTCGGATGCTATCGGTAGATTTTAGTCACGGACGATATTTTGACGCTTAGCAGTTGTGATGGGCGCATTACTATAGTGGTCGTAGAAGAAGTATAGTATGTACAATGTTAACAAAACTTCTTCGGTCAGTGGTTTATTAAACACTCGCTCCGCTCGTGCCAAATCAAACTCGTGACCAAAGTGCCTGCTTGATTGCAAAAATTTCATGCATTGAAATAGAAGCATTATAACACAACACAACTGTTGGGACTATTGTTTTAACCAAAGGCCAGTTTGACCGGAAGAAGTTTTCCTATTAGATTAAACGGACATGTAAATTTTTATGTGATCGAATATCGTGGTTTTTGACAAACACCATTTTCTTTTCTCTAGATAATTTCCTATTTTTATACTTGAAGACGTTTTTGATATAACCCTTGAGAAGGAAGTCGAATAATTGAAAAATACAACACTAGCTTTTAAACTTTTTATTTTACACGCTACTGAACAGACATAACATGCCCATAAGGTAACTTGTAAGTACTTTCGTTAAAGCAATTTTTGGTAGTCGCCATCAGTTGGTTAAATCGTCTGACATTCTTGTCAGATGGATTTTGTGCTGCTAACAGATTTATTATGCTAATAATAGCAAGTCATAATCAGTGAATAAATTTATTCATTGGTTGCAATCCAGTTAAATTGTTTTGTTTGAATTTATTTGTATTACTTATTAGTTTTGACAGGTTTACTTTTACGCCTTTTTCTTATAAACTTTGGAGAATAATTTTTTTCAGTGACGGGTAGAGCTAACTTTCACAACTTGTTGAACAGTTTCGGTTATGATTTGCCCAGTGACGAAGAGAGCCGTATCAAGACTTATAATAACGGAAAGAAATGAAGTTGTGAACAGCAATTTCCTTATGTTGCTTTGCATTTGTTCATGGCATGGGTAGTTTTTAACAGCGCTGAGCTTCTCGTCCTTGCTGTCCGTATAGCGTTATATTACTTTGTCACTGTTTTTCCGAAGTATCGCTTTCCTGTTGTAAAATACATTCGTTTTTTTATTTTCCAACACATGAAATTGTTCATTCAAAAAAATTTAAAATAATCTCGTAACAAATTAGACGCTTTTCTTTCCACATATATTTGTAATACTTTCACGAAACAAAATTATTGCCGTGATTTTGTTTTGACAGCCGGTTTCAAAACAATGCCATTACTTTTAATAGTGAATAGGAAGTTTTTATAACCGCTTGTTAAATTATATCTGTCTGCTACGCTTCAACTTGTTAAATCTCATTGATAAATATAGGTTTCAATATGGTATATTACGCAACAAGTTTGACAGACCCAACTTTAGTCATAAGTTTCATTTGGCACGAGGGCAACAAGTTTGATATACCCCTCTTTAGTCACGAGTTTCATTTGGCACGAGCGCACCGAGTGCTTAATAAACGAGTCGCTAAAGAAGTTTAGGTGTAAAACGCAGTAAGTGATTCTCGAAGCCACCGCCTCAAAGTGACGCTTTTCGCGCGATTGATCCGTTCATAATTGAGTGTTTTAGGCTTGACGATTAATGTATAATGCGATTTTATTTTCTATGGTAACGATTCGATTTTACAAAACAAATTCTCAAACCATTTCCAAAACATTTTTCTTCAATGTAACACACCTTATCAGACATAATTTAACCATTATTAATTGGAGATATAAAGGTGAGGAACCTTTTTGTCAAACAAATTTGAATAAAACCACTAAAAAGGATTTAAAAAAAATATAAACTGTAAGCCTTTGTGGTAGAAATCAAACTACACTTTAATGTCCCGACAAAAATAACACTAGCAGAAGCCAACGAGTAAGTTGTTCTTGCATATCGCCCTTCTTGCAATAGAAAAAAATGCACGACTAGAATGTACTATTTATTTACTGCCAAAAGACATACAACTTATTGTACAAAATTGAACTACCCGAACAAGATATTACAAATTAGCAACAGAAACTAACTGGACCAAATAAATAAGTTGTTAAACCTGAAACGAAGCAGAAAAACGTTCCCGTTGCATTTTTTCCAAAAGAAATAACTTCAACAATTAAGGATTTATAATACAAAAACAGTTATTTACAGGCTGGTTTAAACTTACTGAATGTACAAAAATAATCTATTAGTGAATGCGCCGCACGATTCTGATTTGTGACACTAGTCAAGAGATTCATACTGAACCTAGCAACAAAAATTTTATGGAACTGCTAAGTTGTCTCAACTATGAACTTTGTCGGGAAGACTTCAATATTGGTTATATTCCAGGTATAAAAAAAATAGAAGCACTACTTGTTTTACTTGTAGTCACAAATCTAACCGCCTGACAAAACTTTCTCAACTTCTAAACAAATCACATAGTGATTTGTTCCCAATGACTATAAAACTTCAACATCTACAATTCAGTGTTGAAAAAGTTAAGTCTGATAGCGACGTTTGTCATCCTTATATTACCTTTCCTTTGGGAGATACCTATTCATCAACAAACAATTTCATAACAACAAAGTTCAAGGTAAAATAAAACCTAGCAAAGGCCTCTAATGTAGGTGATAGAAGTAAATAGACATATCAATTAAAGCTGATTAACTAAAATTTCTACACATAGGAGCATATCAGTAATATTAATTTTAATATTAATTTAAAACCAGTAACATTCTGGTACAGTAAGCCAAATATCAAACCTAGGTTCCAAAATGTTAAAGTCTCAAAAGGAACAGATTAAAAAAATATATATTTTTGAATGACAAACTCTACGAAAGTCCTGAGAAATACTGGTGCAAGATAAATTCTATAAAACAAAATGTGCTTGAAAAACAACTTCAATACAGCCATAATTAAAGAATAATTAAATCCTGTATGTTGCTTTATTTTCATTAGTATGTATATAAAAGGCTTTTTTAAGGCACTAGAGCCAATGGAAAAGTGTAAAAGTAAAAGAAGCCCAAAAACAGATATCTCCTTAAAAAAAATAATATTTCCCATGCAAAACTTATTTTTCAATAAATTTATTAATACCAAAACATCCGATGGTTTTGAAAGAAGATTTTTTCACTCCATGTGTAGATACCCTGCAAACAGAATTATAGTATTTTAAAGCCCACCAATAATATAATTAAATAATTTAATACATGTTAATTTTGAGATTGTTTAAAATGAAACTACACTTTGACATTCTCCTAGAGGCTTACAATAGCCATTCTGAGTATTGTGAAGCACCAATGTCATACTTACCAATTACCAAAATATTTTTGAAAAATTATAAATTCTACCTTACCATGCTAGAAAAATTCACATATATCGAGCCCGCTTCTGGTGCGTTGGACTCCCCATTGGCACATCATGAGGAGAAGCTGGTCTTTTGACACAGTGCCTGGCCATCTCGCCAGCAATGAAGGCACACAAATCAGAACCCGTTGTTGGAGTAGAGGCTCCACGAGCTATCTGACGGGTGGTTGTAAGAGCCAAAGCTTCCCGAAACATGTGCAAATTAGGATCGGGTAAGTGAGGAGTTCCCGGTTCACGGTTAATGTCCAGGGGATGGTGGTGGGGAGGAGGTGATAAGTTACGGGGTCTTGGGGACAACCTGTGGTGGTGACTTTGTCTTGGAGGTGGTGGTTTACCAGCTAAATATGCTAGCAAATCCTCTCTTCTAATTAATCTTCGTTTCCTTTTTGCCCAGTGCAGCAGTTCATTGTTACGTTTCTGGTAGCCGCTCTGTCTCGCTAGCTCATTTGTTTTTTTTAAACTCTCGCATGAATCTAAAACACAATAAATGTAGTTACCGTTTTAATTTCATTATTATAATAAATTGACGTAAAACTGATTTGTTTTAGAATAAACTAGTATATAGATAGAATATATAAAGATATTTTTATCTAAACCATCATGTTATTGATGGTCACTAGGAATTCATTGAAATATATTGATAAATATAAATTGAATGATTCAAACAAAAACCTCACCCCTATACAATGATGTGACTGTCCCTGCAGCTGTTTGAAACTGCAACCATATGGCAGCTGGTTCTCCTGAATAACGATCTACAATGTGAAAAAAATAAGAAATTTATTTTATGTAAATTAACTGTAAATTCTAATTATTTTTATCAATAAAAATTCTTTAAAATATGCTTTTCATTATTTCTGCAGTTTCAGTTCCATACCAAATACCAAAAAAACAAACTGAAGCTCTGTAAAGTTGCAAGTGTCTTGTGAACATTTAGAATAATTTCGCAATTCTCGCATACTACCAAAATTTACAAAATTCATAAATTCTACAATTCAAAAAAACCTAGATCAAATGATATTTGATAAACAGCACTACAATTTTTAGTACATAACCTAAGGACAAAGAAAATCAGCTGATTAATGATCCACAAGAGAGGACATGTCAAAAAAATGTCCTCAATCTATAGTCTAAAAACACACAACCTAGACCCAAAATTTTAATTGATATTAGTTTTAAAAAATTACCGCGATACAGTTGTGCTACAGCCGTCGCAGAATCTTGGAAACAGGTCCAAATACGTCTTTGCGAATTATCACTTTCCTCTAACAAGGAGCGATCGTGATCAGGCTGGCCCTCTATGGCATCCGCACACTGTTGTTCCCAACCCGACAACCAGCTCTCGTCGTCACCTTCACCATTCATATTTGCAATTTCGAATTGTTTAAAATTAATAAAAATACAAAAATCTTCGCAATGCGGAACTTCAGCTGGGCCAGGCCATTTTTTTTGTTGAATTAAAGGCTCCTCACTTCCCCGAAACGCACAAGCAGCCAAAACCACAGAACACTGCTACTAAATTCTCAAATGACACTTGCACTGATTGATTTCATATAGTATATTGTTAGATAATTTCTGTTTACTCAATTTTTCTCAATCGTAGAATATGGATTTATTAAAAATTTAAATTTGTCTGATTCTGACTAGAGATATGTAAATTTCATTATAAATTTAAATATTTTTGAAAGGCTTGGAATTAAATGTCTTAAAAATTTTTGTTAATCCTGACTTAGAGTAAAAATAGCAAAAATACTAAAAATATATTTAATCTGCGTCGAATGAATGAAATTTCTTAAATACGGGCCAATAATGGTGCATTTTGGAATGTTATAGAAAATCGTTTATAATTTTGATCCAAAAAATAAAGAAGACGAATTTCTAACCTTTAAGGAAAAAACGGCTTGTCATTTCACATCTTTCACTGTTCTGATAGAAATTGCTAAATAATTTTGAAACACTTGTGAAAATTGTTAAAAGTATATAAGCAATTATGCCAGACCATTTAGGAGATGATATGAGAAAAATTAAAAACGAACCCGAGGAACAAGAAAAGGAAATAAAATGTATGTAACCTGTAAATATATTATTTATTTTGAATATTTGGGTTTACGCTTGTATTTCATTTTCTAGCTTTGGATGAAGGTGATATTGCGTTATTAAAGACCTATGTAAGTATTATTTTGTGAACTATTAGCTTAGTGTACACTTTATTATTTAGGTTGTTTAGGTCATATTGATTCATATAATTTTGATTGTATTCTATTATTTTGTTCGGAACATCCTTTTATTAAATTGCTATTCACTAAAAAAAAAGTTGCACAGGGCCAAGGTCAGTACACAAAATCCATAAAAACCGTTGAAGAAGACATTCAGACCATAATAAAGAGGGTAAATGAATTAACTGGAATCAAAGAGTCTGACACTGGTTTGGCTCCTCCTGCACTTTGGGATTTAGCGGCCGACAAGCAAACCCTTCAAAATGAGCAGCCTTTGCAGGTTGCTCGATGTACCAAAATCATTAATGCAGACACAGATGATCCCAAATACATAATCAATGTAAAGCAATTTGCAAAATTTGTGGTGGATTTGGCAGATTCGGTTGCGCCAACAGACATCGAGGAGGGTATGAGAGTAGGGTAAGTAAGCTTCATTTTCTTTTCTATAGGTTTTCTGAGGGATTCACCACTGTGTGCAATGCTGCAAATCGCCCTGGAAATTCCGAAAATCTTCAAAATCCATGGGTAATCTTGCGAATTTGCTCGCAATATGCGAAATCCCGCAATATTTTCACATGATATTAGGTGACATCATTGTGTTAACTAATGAAAATGCGCTATAATGTTATGCGCCTATGTGAGGCTGCCTGGTGAGAACTCAACTATGTGGTGCCTCTAAAATTTGGTGTTTCAGTTTTCAATAGGTCATCCCATGATATTAGTTTTTTTTCTAAATAATGTAGCAGGTAAATGTAATAATATGTAGGAGTTAATATATTATATTATATATAGACCGTGCTTTGGCAGACCCTATGCATCCTGAACATCGGGATCAAGCCAGCTTTTGCCCTTTTGCTCTACCCGAGGTTTCTGTCCTCGCTGAGCTGGCCTTAGGACACTTGCGTTATTCTTTGGCGAATGCCCCCCCCCCCCATATATTATATACATAGCAGATATTTTACGGAATGCAAATGAAAAATGTGATGACAATATATTCCGGGACATCATCATCATCAGATGTTTCGTCAAGATCTCACTTGACAGGTCAGTGTTCTGAGTGTTTTCGGAGCGGAAGCATTGAAAATTCCGAGTGAGATCTTGGCTAAACGTCTGCAGGATTCACTCAGTCGGAGTTCAACAAATGAACGGATGATAATGGTATATATATATATTCTGCAATTTCTCTTGGGTATTCGGCCTCTCGAAAACAATTAATGTGATTCTCTTTCAAAATATTCTTATTTTGTATAGGTGACAATTGATGACATTTGACGTTGTGTTAATATGTTAAAAATAAACATAACTTGTCAGCAAATATTTTATACGGATTGGAATGGCATGTAAAGCAGGTACCGATGTTTTTCATTAGTAAATATATTGGATATTTTAATTTTGTTAGTTTAAAATTGAATGATATATTTTGTTAAGGTCTTTAGAATCGGTTTTGTAATTAATTGATTTTTTGTTTTTTTGGATTTCTATGCCTTCATAAAGTTCTTTTTTTGGTGTTAGGTTCTGTTAGTAGGACTTTTAACTTTTTGAAAATTAAATGTGTTTGGTGTTTTCTCAATGGGTATGAAGACCTGTTTTATTTTTTTTGTCATACTTATGTCCGTTGATTCAATTTTTTAATAAATATTGGCTTGTTTGTGCTATATACACGCTGTCGCTAATAAAAATCCGTATAAAATATTCGTTGACAAATTATGTTTATTTTTAATATATTAACACAAGGTCAAATATCATCAATTGTCACCTATACAAAATAAGAATATTTTGAAGAAGATCGAAATTACGATCGAAACGTTAATAAATATTTAGAAGAATAACATTAATTGTTTGCGAGAGACCGAATACCCAAGAGAAACTGAAGAAAATATACACATTCAAATGCACGTTGGAGAGTTCCAGGATCGCACAGCAAAAGGCTGAACACTGGTTTAGTGCAAATAAATTAGTTTAAATAATGATAATTAGTTTTTTTCCATGCGAAATTTAAGTACAGTTAATTTTAATAAAATAAATACCAGATTTCTTGGCATCTATATTGACCCCAAACCGCAGTGGGACTCCCATATAGTTGCTCAGAAGCTGACCAAAAATTTGTATTTGCTTCGACGTTTGACCGAAAATGTCTCTCCTGGTGTGTTAAGGACTGCATATTTTGCACTTTTTCATTCACACCTCCTATATGCGATCTTAATATGGGGCCACGCTGCTGGCAGGCACCGTTTATTCAGATTACAACGAAAAGCAGTTCAATTATTAGTGGACTTGGGTATGAGGAGAACTGTAAAAATGCCTTTCGGGACTTGGAAATTCTTACATTGCCTTCGTTGTTTATCTTGGAAAATGTATTATTTATAAAGAAAAATCTTCATATATTTACCACTTATAAGGAATTGCATGACCCTCAAACCAGAGGTCGGGACAATGTGGTCATTACCTACTGCCGCTTGGAGAGGTGTCAAACTGGTCGAAATTATTGGTCCGTTAAGGTTTTTAATGCTCTTCCAAATGCTGTTCGTAATTTAAAATTTGAAATGTATAAACAAACAGTCAGACGATTTTTAATTAATCACCAATTTTGTTCTTTTGATGAATATTTATGTTTCAATTATAATGTACCAGGTGCATTTTAAGTATATGTTATTTTATTTCTTTTTGTTTGACGTATGTAAATTATTTGTGATAGTAACAATAATAAAGTATTAGTATTCGTAGTCGTATATGAAATTTGGGATTGGGATTTGGGATATTAGGAAGTTCTTTGAAAGTTTTTGACTCAAATTAAAAATTCAAATGCCCATTCCCAATCAAATTGTTTAAATTTTGAAACTATATTAGAATATGGGATGGTTTTGGAATTGAGGGAGTAGATTGCTCAAAATTTGCAAAATTAGTCTCTGGTTACATTAAAAAGAAAATGCCTGAATGTTGCAAACAATAAACTATCTTTTTAATTTGGTGTATTTACTATAGCAAAACGTAAAAGCGGTATAAGGATTTTACAATGGAACTTTATGAAATGCAACATTAGACAAAGTGTTGTCATTTAGGAAAAATGACCAAATGATTTTTCAATGAAATTTTTAGTTTTTTTAGTTAGTTAGTTTTCAGTCAGTTAGTACTTATTTATTTTTAAAATGACATAGAGCGCTAAATTAACAATTCTGTAAGTAAATCTAGCCAAAATATAAAACAAAGACTTTCAGCAGGAGAAATTAATAGACCTGCAAACGTCACTTTTAACATAAAATTTCACATTTCTCAGAGGCGGTAAGATTGAGTCATAGGAAATATGAAATATGTCAAGAAAGTTTCATAATATGGGTCGGTCTATTAGCATATAATTTAATACATAATTTTTGTATAATATAACAAAGCATTTAATTACGATAAGTATTACAATAGCCCGTGGAAGTTTCTTTGAAAAATTAACAATGATTATTAGCCGTAAAAATGACGGTAACTCCTTCCTCACTTTTACTGCTGCCATAAAACTTCAGTTTGTGTATCTTAGTATTTTTGATTATATGATGGTTAATTGAAATTATCTGCGCAATCATATGAAATCGGCGAAACCCTGCAATATTCTGCAAAATCTTGTTTTCATTTTTTTTTATGATTTAGTGTGGATAGGAATAAATATCAGATTCATATTCCTTTGCCTCCAAAAATTGACCCTACTGTCACTATGATGCAAGTTGAAGAAAAACCTGATGTTACTTATAGTGATGTTGGTGGTTGCAAGGAACAAATTGAGAAATTAAGGGAAGTTGTTGAAACCCCATTATTACATGTAAGATTTTGTTATAATATATTGTCGGTTAATTATTAAGATATTGCTTTTAGCCGGAAAAATTTGTAAAACTTGGCATTGAACCTCCAAAGGGTGTTCTTCTATTTGGGCCCCCAGGGACTGGCAAGACCCTTTGTGCTCGTGCTGTGGCAAATAGAACTGATGCTTGCTTTATTCGAGTCATAGGCTCTGAGCTTGTGCAGAAGTATGTTGGAGAGGGAGCAAGAATGGTGAGAGAATTGTTTGAAATGGCTCGATCAAAGAAAGCATGCCTTATTTTCTTTGATGAAATCGATGCAATTGGGGGCGCCAGATTTGATGACGGAGCCGGTGGTGATAATGAGGTACAACGGACAATGTTGGAACTTATTAATCAATTGGATGGATTTGATCCTCGTGGTAATATCAAAGTACTGATGGCCACCAACCGACCAGATACTTTAGACCCTGCATTGATGAGACCGGGTCGCCTGGACCGAAAAGTTGAGTTTGGATTACCAGACTTGGAAGGAAGAACTCATATATTTAAAATTCATGCTAGGTCTATGTCAGTGGAAAGAGATATTCGGTTTGAGCTGCTTGCTAGGTAAACTTTTGTAATTCCGCATCTAACCAAGATTATCTTCTGGATCTTCCCTCCGAATTTTTTTAAGATAATCACTTAGTAACAATTTTTGCATGAAACAAAAAATAATTTATTTCATCACAAATTAAAAATAGCTATTTGTAGTTGAACATTTTTTAGATTGTGTCCTAACTCCACTGGAGCTGAAATAAGAAGTGTTTGCACTGAAGCAGGCATGTTTGCAATCCGGGCCAGAAGGAAGGTGGCGACGGAGAAAGATTTCCTGGAAGCAGTCAACAAAGTTATAAAATCATATGCCAAATTTTCGGCTACTCCTAGATATATGACTTACAATTAATCTGCCAGATTGTATCATTCTTCATTGTTTATGATAATAAATAATACTTATAGTAAGCAGATTTCTCACTTTCAAAAGTTGTTTTATTTCATGAATTCATTTATTTCATGAGTGGGGTAATACTAATTTGAAAACAAGCCTCATGAGATCAATTTTATTTAAAATGGTCATCATTTAGTACATATATTGTAAATGCAATAAATACATAAAATATTTTAACAAATACTAACATCAAACATTCCGCAGTGCTGGGATTTTTTGCTTAATTAAGCTTCTAAGGTCTAGCTTAGCTAATTTGATTTTTTTTATTTGATCTTGTGCATAGATACATCAAAGGAGTAAATTTAGACTCTTTGGGTTTGATGCAAGTTCGTGTTTTTAAAACATTTCCTATTTTGTTAACGAAGAAACATTCGTTTGCAAACGACAAATAATGACAAATATATCTTAACATTTGAAATAATATGTATAATTAGATATAAAGAACATTTAGAGTCGTTGATCACGTGATATGTGTTGAATAAAACCATAAAGCTACTAGACATATAGGGGTCCTGCCTATGCCAACAGTACAGAAACTCATGAAGCAACTATTTAATTTTTTTAGAGAAGGTCCGTTCAATGTGCGCATGCGCGAGATTCAAAATTTCGTTTTTAATCAATGGCAGCTCTAATGACAAAGCCTGACGTAGACTCATAAGACCTTGCGGCTTTCAACAAACAACATGGCCACTGACAGATGGCCGATATTTGGATGCGGCATTTTTTCAGCAGTATTTTCTGAAAATATATTTAAATTCAAATTTTCATTCAAAAAAGGAGTTAAGATCTAGCAATGCAGTGCAGAATTGCAACACCCACGTCGGCTTCAGTATAATTCTGTAATTAATTTGGCGTTTTTGTTCTTCAAGCCTTGCAAGTAGGATGCAATTTTTACATGTATTTTTCTCATGGGTTTAATCTCCATTGAAATAACTTTGAGATGTGTAAGTGAAAAAATATTCAAGAAGCACTTCCTATAGGCAGTAATTGGAAAGGAGTGTTTGTTATGCTTGTTCCAGTAAAAATTCAACTTGTAGCTTAATTGCGTTCTTATATTTCCTGTAATTCTTGTACACTAAACTATATTACCTAAACATCTGCGTAGCTATTTAAGTGTACCTAAAAATGTTGGGAATTCTGTTCACATTTAAATATCTGTGTAAGTCTATTTTCTACTTTGTTAAAATCATTATTTCTTCAAGATCCTATAGGCACAGATTATGCAAGTTTGGGAGTAGGGTACGGTACGGAGATATTGATACTAAAAATGAAAACTGTAATTACTTAGCTTGGCATTGCCAACTATGTTCAGATTTCAGAGATTGATGTTGCGTTATTATAAAAATTAATTAATTTTCCAGAAAAATTACGGCAATGTAGCAGCTCAGTCAGTTGGGGGTGACGCATGCGCAAAAGATGAATACCTTCTCTACGAAATTATCATAGCCATCTGCGGCGCATCAATTTTTACCGTAGAAGGGCCCCTATATTATCTTATAGCTATATGAATAAAACAATTTATCATTGGGCCATCCATAATTTAAGTTGCGTGCGTCTTGATTATTGAAGAAACTCTTAACCTCTCAAGTATTTGACTTAAATGTTCATGTCCATGCCACCTTGGTGTGATGTCACATATTTGTGAATTGTAACAGCAGTTGGTAACAAGAGGAGTTAATGTTCTAATAATTTAGATAGACGGTTTACTGTAAACAAGAACAACCACAATTTTCATATACTTTTATTGTGTAAAATTGGAGGAATTGAATTGAATTGAAGGAAATACTAAAATTGAAGAATTTTTATTTTCTACAAAATTTTTTAGTCCAGTTTTCATTGGAGTGGTTGGTTTTATTTATTCCATTAAACCGACCATGTATTTTTAATGGTTTAAAAGTCAACCCTATAATCCCATTGAACAAGTGGTCATCTTGTATTGTAGGTTTTTAAAGGATTAGAATTTTTGCATTTTTACTGATTGCGCCTTCTAGTAAATGTAAATCCTCGTATAAATCTTTATATGATTTGGTTTTGTGGACGTTTTGTTTTTGGAACTTTGCAAATCACGGTTTCCCTTTTTCGGTTAGCAAATCTTTGGATTTGTTGTAATTGATCCATGACTATATGAATAAATAAATTTCATCCATCGATTAAACCAGAGCAGACTCCTAAATCCCAAAATTTTAGTGTCTATGCACAAGCCTCGAATAATGTCGCCTTTCTGGCGACGATTCTTCTGTTACGACGCTGGATCGTCTCAAAATGGCCTCTGTCGACATACCTACGACGTCCGAGACCACCGATACTTTCCTACCACCTACGCCGATTCCCGCCTGGATTCCAGGATCACCAACTATTGAAGTTCGCCTCGAGATCCGTGCGGTTTCGGCTGGATGGAATCCCGCGGGAAAAGAGCAACGGCGGTGGAGAGGGGAAGGTCTACCACCTGATGGAATTAAAATTAATAAAAAAAATTAAAACAGTCTTGGGATATATATTAAAAACAGTAAAATGCTTTTGCTAGCACACAACACGCAAAGAAATCGGTGAATTGCGTACCAACGAGGACTGCCTTATTTTTGAAAATATAGACTTACGAATGAATTGGCTCAATTTTTTTAGTATTAATGTTCCTGTACCACTATCCTATTTTCGAAATAAACTCTCTGATAAATCACGTTTTTTAAAACATTCAACTTTAAATATTATTGTTCTTAGTTCCATAATAATATACAAGTTTTAAAATGTCGACGTGGAAACACAGCTTTTATATTAAAGAAACGATGTATAATAACTTATCTATCCCCTCATATTCACTAAACTCTATATTAGCAGTAATGTCAATTATGTATTATAAACAACAACTAGCTGTTTCGTTTTAAAAATACAAGTTTATGGAGACCTAAGTATATGACTGAAGCAATTACAATAAAGCACATGAAAAACAGGGTTGGATGGTGGTCGCAATTATATATAAAGTCACCTTTTTTTAACAATTGCAACAAATAGACTGCAACAAAATTATGAGCTATTATATCGCATCCAAAATATGAAAATGTCGTTCGTTCAATGACGGTCTTTAGATCTAGAATGGTTATTAAATTGAAAAAAAAAGGTGAAAAAAATTTTATCTGTTTGGAAACGCTACTTTTCTTAAAACCAAAGAAATCGTTCTGAAATGGAAAATCGTTCTGAAATATCTAGTTGCACTGTACCATTTTGCACTGTAGCATTTTGTAACAAACCTATGGAGCAGTCTTCTGGAATATCAGGCTAAAACCGTTATAATGAGGATTTTTGCCATTTGTCTCTCGACTTCGAGATTTATACATTGAATTTTATGATGTCATTTCAATAACACCCTGTATATTATTGTCATAGCTCTTAAAAAAAGCAAAGTTGGAAATCGAAAAGAGTTTTGTTTTATTAAAGAACCGTTAATGCCGTTTCGGAAGTCTTTTTCTGTGGAATATATTTTTTAGGATATTTCAATCCACTCTTTCCAAAATACGAGAGATGTCGAAAGTAAGTCCCCGTTCAGCCTTCATTAGCACGCCAAATAAGGTTATCAGGTGAGAATTTTAACATTGAAACACAAACACCACAAATAACCAGCACCGCTGCGCCTTTGTCTACCTTAATCGACACGCATCGGTGGCCGGCAAGGGTTCCTACCCTGCTTCGATGTAGTCTGCAACCCTTCCTCCCTGGTTTGCTCCAACACGCTTTCCCTTCGTACCAGTTCTTTCCTATTGTGTTTCAGCACCGTCAAGTCCGCCAGAGAACACTTTCGGTTTAGAGATACCTTGCTACCACCCCTTCGTTCCGCCACTGCCGGCTGGTGGGAAGTCTTGGCGCGGTATAATTCCAGTAGGGCCGCCCCAAGTGATGTTAGAAGGAGGGCGGCGATTATGTAGTTGACGATATTGTCTAAAACAGTATTGTTAAATCTTATTTATTACCTTATCTATCATCTAACATTCCTAGCAATGCATTTTTATCTTTCAAAGAAACTTCCACATGCTACTGTAATACGTTTTACAAAACTTCTTGATTCCTCCTGCGTCGGTGTTGGCTACTTCAGAGCTTAACTGAAACTGTTTCTGTTAAGCGTCAGTTAAACGTCAGCAAGTTCGACTCAGCAAAAACCGACGCAGAGGTAATCCAGAAGTTTTGTAAAAAGTGCGTTTTTATCTTCCTAACCGTAAAACCATTTAGGCTACTAATAAAAATTGATGGGCCTCGGGCGGTGATGATATTTTGTGAGCATCGATATTTATGCACTTTTTCGTGACCATTTAACGGGATATTTTGAGAAAATACTGTCGTAAAAATACTGCATCCAAACTTAAAGTTGTCGAATTGACGAACTGTAATCGGTCATGTTCGTTCTTGAACACCATTACGTCTTATTGGTTGAAATCAAGATTTGAAATATGAGATATTCTTGATTGAAAACGATATTCATAGAGCGGCCATGCTGTTAATGCAGGAACTGTTAAAACTATCATTAAAAATTTTTTGAGAAGAGCCAATCAATTGTGCTTATGCGGGGTCATTTCAAATATGCCCCCATCTCCTCAAATGACTAGGGAAAAACGACTTAAGGGTTTGGCCGCCTGCGGCCCATCAATTTAGTCTTGCGGCCACTATATTGTTTAATATCTATATAATTAAATCAAATTGGTTTGAACTTGGCTGCATGGAAATGGATGCACTTATAAGATCCGTTAGTATATCAAAAATCTAGAGCGTTACAAATGGGTCTTCAAGACAAAATTATAATTGATATCGAAAGAAGAAGAACGTATAAATGATGAAAGATTATCTCTAAACATCACCTGAAAAAAAAAGAGGGCCCCAAGAAAGACATGGCACCAGGGAGTTCGTAAAGCTATGAGCTTAAAGAACATAGACAATGGTCAGTGCGAAAATACAAGATTCTAAAAATGTATTGCCTGTATACGCCTCGAAAATATATAAAAAAATATATCGGCGTTTCGAACAAAAAGGCAAGACACATTTATATCAAAATTGTTAGTGGTTCTGAAAAAAAAGTGGTTTTATTGTCCTGTCCCTACCCATATCACTTATTTCTTAATTCCAGTTATCGAATATCACTATGACATAAGTGCTCAAATATGTGAGGGGTAGTTAAAAATGGCATTGTTTATGGTATAATTTCACAGTTGCAACAAAAAAGGAACAGAGTGTATTAAATACACTTAAAAAAGTCTAATATTTTTATATTACTATTATTGTTATTATAAATATTTCATAATATTATGTAAAACGATTTTGTGTAAAAGACGAATATCAGGCTTCACATTAAAATAAAATTAAAATTATGTATATCTAGTTTGTCCTAGACCCACTGGATTTATTAGGGGCGAAGACAGAAGTCACTACTAACCAAAACTAATCAAGGAATACTTTAGGCGGTATTGGTCAGCTTTGGGTAGATTTTGTTCCTTTTCTTCTAACATTTGTTTAGAAATCAACGTAAATTTTTGAAACAAACCTTACTTTATCGATAACTTTCTACAGTTCACAATTAGTTTATGATTTATAAATGCGATTTCCCTATATATGAATTCTCAGGAAACTACGTTAATATTACATTAAAAAATAGATATTCTCCGAAATATTTAAATAAGGTAAGATACTCACTTTCTGTTTCATTAGTGGATTGATTTTTGGCGTAATACATTTTTGGGATTTTGTGTTTGCTTGGATCATTCACATCTTGTGGACGACATCCGGTTTTACTCATCTTTAAGTCCGCGCAAATATCGTCGAGGATCATTAACGTGTCCATTATAGAACACGATGGTTGGGTTATTAAAATACGAGTTATCCGCTTGCCCTGGAAATAGACAGAAAATTTAATTTAAAAAAAAAGTCTACTGGAAACAGTACAGAATACTAAATGAGCCAGGTTTAAATCGTCACGCCATTTTGCCGCTGAATTTTATATGCAGAAGGCGACAGAAATTATTCTTGTGCCGATTACTAATCAACTCGCTAATCAAGAATGTCAAAATACTGGTTCTATAGTTTAAAAAGTCATACGTATTATGCGAAAAGAAATAATAATTTTTAGAAAAATTTCAAACGATTAGAAACATTCGCGCAATGTATTCATCACATTTCCATTTCCGAGATCGCCTCTGATCCATAAATAAATCTATAACAATCAAATTAATCCCCGACTATTAAATTATCTCCGGCTTTTGTAATTGAAAGAGGATGCTATAGTTTGCAGCTACCATGGTCACATTTTAATTATCATTAGTATTTATTATAACTTAAGAGAACACAATATATGGTCGGTCTTTGTTGGTTTGAATTTTTATTTTTATTATTATTTATTATATCTTCACGATTCTTGGGGTGTCTGACACACTTTGATATAAGTTGAAAGATTTTGAAACTTTTAGGGCTGACATCCACTGATTGTTGAAATGTGCAAGTAGATATTTTTTAGATATCATGTCCGCTTTTCTTCTCTTGTACTTTTTTGTTAGTTTATTTTCATCTGCAACCCTTATCAAGAAAAAAATTAAAACGGTTTTTTGATTTTCGATCACTTGAATTAACAATGGGAAAAAGTTGGGCTGTAACTGCGCTTTTTTTTTACCTTTTGGTTTCGTTTCATCTAGTCATTTGTTAATTTCCTAAAAGAAGGCCCTAAAATCCCGAAACCCCAACACTCCGATCACGAAGTATTTATAGAAGCACATTTATAGAAAAGAAAAACCACTTTCAATATGCAAAAAACGTTTCAAAAGCCAAGATACTGAATTTTGAAACACCCTTTAAAGACGTCAGATGTCAGATGAAACAAGATATTTGTGACAATTTTGCTTTAAAGACGCAGTTTCCGTTTCCGTTTTCTTTGTGAAACGAAAAACAATAGAGAAAATGTTGCATTTTCAAATAGATAATTAATTTGATAACATATCGAACACCTTCTTTTGCGTAGGATTCAGTGCCACGTACACGGGGTAGTGTAGTACATGTATAGAATAATATGTGCAGAGTATAATAGTTTGCAGTTATCTTAAATAGCATAAAAATAACTCAATCAATAACTTACTTAATTTGTAATTTAGTAGATAAGTGCGGGCTATGGGCTAATCTATTAAAAATAGAAAATTCTTAAAAAAAAAAGGTTTATTTATTCAAAATGATGTCATTGTAATGAGATTAAAATGATGTAAGCATGACTAATCTATTGCAAACGAAATTAATGAAAATTAAATAATTAATCATTATAAGGTATTCAATACCTTGAGATTCAGTCGAAATATAAACTTAAAACTCAATTTCAGATTTTATGAAAAACTATTATTTATGATAAAATTAATCAATTTTGCAGAAAAAAAAGTTAAATAAAATTTATTTTAAGTGAGAAATAATTAATCATGACTTTTTCAAGGTGGTTACCAAAATGGTCTTCTGTTCTGTGAAATCAAAATTGGCATTTTTTTAAGTCACTCTCAATTGAACATCATAGAAAGCTTTTGGTTACTTAAACTGATTGGTTTGAGAAGTTCCTATAGAAAATAATATCGAATTTGTTAAAAATATTTCATTTTGCATAAAACTCCATAAAACATCCAAAACAAAGACCGACTCCCAATTTGTCAACTTTTTGGTATAGTATTTGCTTTACTATTTTCATTAGATTAGTCAACCAATTTAAAAATGCAAGAAATTATTTCAAAAGCATAACTTTTGTCTATACAAATTTCAGAATTCAATTTCAATTTTTTTCTTGAAAAAAATGAGGTAGAATGAAATAACTTTTTCTTCTGACACCGTATTCTTACTCTGACACGAGTACTGCACTACATAAAAATTTATATATTGGTTAGGATAGTTAGCTTTTCCATAGGTAACGAAATAGGGAAGATGCGACATTTCGCTTAACCTTGAGTGAGTTACCCGCAAAAGTCTGGACATAGGAATACCCTGTGCAAATTATTGTTGTTTTGGACCTTGCTATGCAAAAATGAAATTCCCTATCTAAATAAACAATTGTTGCTTACGATTAGAATTTATCGTGCTTAGGAAAATGCTAAATTTTCGAATGTTTAAACCTTTGAAAAGAAGACGAAGGTAGAAATTTGAATTCTAGCTTTTGTTCAAGAGTTATTATTATTATTCACCTGATCTAGTTTGGTATCAACAGCGTCCGTAAAGTTCATTTGGTTCGCATCTTCGATACGCGTTTCCGAAGCTAGCGAAGTTCTGTTATCGGGAATTTCCTCGACGACTCCCCCGCTGTAGTACTTAAATATGAACGTACAAAAAGCAAACAGGACTAGTTTGATAAAAATCCACATGTGAGGAGTTGAATTGAACCGATATTCGTTGACTTCGTGCATTTTGTCACGTCGTAACTTCTAAGGCTTGTGCAAGTTTATAGGAGCATACCGTTCGTTGGAAAGTTTGTTTATTTGAACACTTAGTTATGTGAAAAGAAAAATTGAAGTTGGTTTTGTATTTCTCGATTTAAACTTTAGCGTGAGCCTCACTGACAGCTAGCTTTCCTGATAACACTTCATTGAATTTTCGCAACATCGTCAGAGAGAGACAGGAAAATGTAGTATAGAGCTTATTTGCGGCCCCTGGATAAGTTATATTCGTACTGGAAGTGGAAACGCACTGATTCTAATTTCACGCGTAACACGACTGTCACATAACAGAGATAGTTCTACGCTGAAACCAACTGAAACTAAACGTTGTTTACCTATCCGCGCCGAACTGGATCGGTAGAGAAGGGAAAATCAATAAGATGAATGAAGTCCTGCAGAATTTTCGGGCACGGGACGGGCTTTTCGCGCACTAAGAACGAACTGGATTGTTGTAGGGGCTTTTTAACCGCTATCTAGCAGAGGATGACAAAATTGTTTTATCAGATTATCAAAAAATGAACGCGTTTTAAAGATTTTACCCAGATAGGTTTATGTATTATATAACACCTGCGCAGGTATATTTTGAACACATTAAAATTGTAGAGGCTGAAAAACGACAGTGTTAATGCTAATGTTCATCCATTTCAAGACATTTATTGATTAAAACAGATGAGCTTAATTACACCAATTGGGTTTCTAGAATGAAAGGCTTTCAAATAAATATTATCTCCATGTTACAACTCTTGTTTGTTGAAATTCAATTGTCAAAGCCAAATGGAATGATTAATCATATACATTGATTTGGAAATTACAGATTACCTAACCATGGTTGGTTAGTTTTGCATGGGTAATATAAAATAGTTGTACTGTTTTTATGTCTATTAATAGAAAATGTTTCGATCAGTATGTATTCTTGATCCCTTTCAAATTTGCAGCACCATTTCAGATTTGGTTAGTTTCATAAATTGTTTAGCACACACTTTATTTATAATAAGTACCCGATTGAGTATTTCGATTAGATACAGAATCAAATTCTTGCAAACCTCCAATAATATATTAAATATAGAAGATAACCCACACACACATTAAGAATTAATTAAAAATTGTAGGGTTGTTGAATGTTTTCTATATGTTAATAAGTGTTTAAAAAAAAGGGTACCTGATGTTAAAGTTAATTTTTGCAACATAGGCATATTTTTTGTTAACTGTTCAAATCGTTACTTTGGGCTTCCCCAATGACATATTGTGATGTATTGTCTGCGGTCCCTGTTTAAGAGCTCATTCTAAGCACAGAACAAAAAAGCTAGAAAATTCTTGTCTACGCTTGATCTATGGCATTCGCAAATTTCAACATGTCACATTTTAGCTCAAACCAAAGCAAAATCGGCGTTTTGCACATTCTGCATCCACCTTTTCCAATATAATTGCACTTAAAATAACAGAAAATCAGTCACATTTCATACAAGAAATGTGAGCATATGGACAGATAGTTGATATTAAGTTACACAGTAAAATTTTCCCAATTAACGTGTTAAAAGCAATAAAAAAAATGGTATAGCTGCCTTTTGAAGGCATAGTTAGTCTTCAATATTTTAAATTCATTCGGTAGATCCACAGTTACAGTATCTACATAATAGAATCAGCACCCAATGGGTGTTTTCAAGGGCTCCTATTATTGCGTAACAACAAACAGAAGTATTTAAAATTAAAATTTAAAATATTAAAGCTATAGGAATTTCTGTTATCAAAACAATCCTCTTATTTAAATTTGCTCTCTTCGTATTCCTTTAAACGGGTAAATTGAGAAATTTTTAGTGTGTAACTTAATATCAACTATCTGTCCATAGGCTTATATGTCTTGTATCAAATGTGACTGATTTTCTGTTATTATTTCTATTTGCTAGCAAATAGTGCGAATGCTTTAAAACGTACATTTAAGAATGCCGTAATACGTTTAATCTATTTTTCTACAAATTTGCTTATGTGGGATACTAGGTTTAGTGTCATAACTAGTAAGCATTCCTTTAAAGCTGAACTAAAGTACGCCCGTGTGTCTAAATTTCATATAAAATATGCATTTACTTAATTCAATAAAAAACTTTATTATTATTATTATATGAATGTTACGTCAAACATAACGTATCCAGGTTTTACAATTAAGTATCTTGTGGATGTGTTAAAAAAGGTTTTCACCAATAATTAAAAAAAATACAATTGAGAAAAATCTTTTAATTTGGAATAATTTCAATTTATGGTAATTTCGAATAATTAAAAAATCTGTAATTTTAGAAGTATTAGCAACTTTAGTGGGTAAATGTTCAGGTCTGCTATGGTGGATGGTTTTGGAATGATAATTAGTTGATCAGGGCGATGCTTAAAATGCCCACTTCTGTAAAGATATTTTGGTGGGTTTCATGTTGTCCACTTACTTTTAATTTTTAAATATATCTTGTTTGCTTGATTCGTTAAAAAGTATTGATTATGGAAATCCGAAACATTGCTGATTGATTTTGGATAACAAAACAGAAAGTGACATCCCTATTTGAAAATTATTGTTTGGGTCTTGAGATGGGTATATAAAAAACAAAATGTTGTAACAGACAACCTTATAGCCAATTTTAAGTTTCAAATTAGTATATAACGTGAAAACATAATTATCAATATTGAAAATCTACTGTGTATATAGATCAAAACTCTCTTTTCCTAAATTCCATTAAGATTGAAAATCAAAAAACACGGCCCACAATTTACATTCCATTGACCCCAAACTGCTATTCTAAAAAGGCCCGACGCATCGTGTCGAAAGATAACATCCAACAAATCCTCTATTATCAATAAATATTCCACACCTGTACTGGCAATCGCAATAAGCGCTTAGTTTGACTATAAACAATATAGTCGTTAACATACGTATCGTAACCTTTATGCCTTGATAAGAGATAAGGCCTGACCCGAGATAAGGCGTTACCGTTTGAGTTTACCTGTTTGTACGCTTTTAATCGTCAGTATTTTGCGGCACGGGCATTTTTTATGCGTTATTTTAAAGTTTTTTTTTGCTGGTCCCCATTCAAGACGACGTTTCGCGGTTACAGGTAAGTCAGTTACTTTAAAAGTCGATATTTATCTCTTGTTACGTACAATGCCACTCACGAGGTCATCGAAAATGTCCGATTTCGATTTGCAAATCAAACAATAAAGACGCGGGCGTTCAATAAAAACTGTTGGCAAACGGAAAACGCGCTCGTCAAATCGTATCGCGATCCAAAATTAAATAATCGGGTTATTTCGAACCACAGACTGCCTGCGGGCGGGCGGAAAGTGAAACATTTTTAGATATATCGGGAGGTCGTTTCAGGTCATACGCCGTCACACATTAACTTTAACCTATGTACCCGAACGTCGACCGAAACCGTCAAACCTGAAATCAGTCGTGCGCCGAATTTTCAGCAATTTAAATCTAAATTTGTGTTTAGGCACACACGTAGAACGTGTTCGATTATAATTTTAACAATAACGAAGGTGAATATGTTATCCGTGATAAGATTGTCTACGACAGCGTGGCTTTTGCCGGCTAGGTGTCGCGTATTTGGAATCGCCGTCAAATTGGTACCAATCGATTATGCTAATTCGAGTCGTACTTCCAGCGCAAAGGAAATTCATTATCTTTTAAATATATAAGAGTAGCCGTTATCAATTTAACTATTTAATGCGATCGCCGGATACATTTAATCAGCTCTGTGTCTTTCCTGCTTTTATATTACTGCTATAACTCAGTTTGTTGGCGGAAATTTTATTGCACCTGATTATTACATATTCCAGTTTAAGTTTATATTTTATTCTGAGAAACTGAATAAATCTTGTTGCTTCTGGTGTGCGACCTGCATATTTACTTCTTCTTATTTGAACGTGAAAGCTGTCCGGGTGACGCCAGAGCTGGTTTCTGAAAAAGAGAGGAAGGTATTTCTAAGCCAAATTAAATATTCCTGTCAATCGACATATAACAAATTCTAAAAAGCTACGAATATAATTTGTTTGTGCAGTCCTGTTCGGTTTTGATTTTTGGTTTGCGGTTGGAGCATTGGTGTCTGTGTGGATGAAAACGCAATTCAAACCGGTTATTAAACTCTGTACTTGCGTATTGACGCTATTGCCACACGTCGTGTTTTTTGGTTTCTGCGCTGTTTGCTGTTGTTAATTAAACGTGTATCACTTGAGTAGTGATTAAGTTTTAATTTGACATTTGATATCTAAGGGATAAAAAGAGTTCTTATATATATATATAAAAAAAAACAAAATAACATAGTGACCGAAATCACCTGCTTAAAAGATTATGAACGAAAAGCTGCTGCAGATCGATCGGCAAGCAGACAGAAACTTTTTAAAGAAACTTCCACAGGCTACTGTAATACTGTTTACAAAACTTCTGGATTCCTGCTGCGTCAGTTGTTGTAAAGCAACAACAATCGACGCAGGAGGAATCTGGAAGTTTTGTGAATAGCTGACAGAAACTGTTGTTAAAAAAATTAATAGTTTTAGTACTGGCACGTTTTATAACACTATTCTCCTTTTTAATGATTGGTGTCATTAAACTTAACAATGATTGTCGTCCTTAATTCCTATATTAAATTAGTAAGGGCCAATAGGGCAGCCACGATTTCGTTGCTCTTCTTTTCTTTACCTATAAGAGAAGTTTCTTCATAACATGAATGGCAGGAGTCTTTGCATTTCCCCTTTTTTTGCTGTAAAAATACACGACTAAATGTCAAACGACATAAGGTCAAACTCTTAAAAATTGTGATTTTTCCTAAAATATTTTAGCATCAAAAGTATATATATTCAATATAACACACTAAGAAAATACATGACAATATACTGTAAGTGAAGAAAGGCGCAATAAAATCGAGTGATTCTATTTATTAAAGTCAAGGACAAAAATACGTTTAGAATATTTTTCTCGAAGCTGACCATTAAGGCTATCGTCAGTACAGAGCTGCATTCAAAAATCTGATAAGAAACGTGGTGTGAACTCCTTTGCAGTTAATGAAATTGTAAAACTTGCTAAAGGTTAGTTGGTTTCGTATTTATTTCTAACCAACTAATTTTTTTTCAAGGGCTCACAGGCTACTGTAATACTTTTTGCAAAACTTCTGGATTCCTCCAGCGTCGGTTTTTGCTAAGTCCAACTTGCTGACATTTCGCCAATTATCCTGTTGGCTTCTTCAGAGCTTGACTGAAACCGGCTCGCATTTTACTCTGTACCTGTTCAGTTTCAGTCAAGCTCTGAAGAAGCCAACAGGATGATTGGCGAAACGTCAGCAAGTTCGACTCAGCAAAAACCGACGCAAGACAAATCCAGAAGTTTTGTCAAAAGTATTTTAACCAATTGACCAACGAACCTATTCAGTTAGTTTTGGTTAGTTTTATGAATTGTACTATCAATTGAGCTAAAACTTCGAAAAATCTTTGGTAATTACAATACTTTTGATTTCAGTTTCAACGATGGAGAAGAATTGCCAAAATATTCAAAATATTGCGGGCACCAATGATAACGTGGTTGAATTTCACGCGTGTGATGTAAATGACAATGATAGTGCAGATGAGACTACTGAAGCATCAAAAGAACCCCGACGCACTGGATTATTTTCCATAACGGACAGTCTAAGAAATTCCAGATCTTATGAAAGAGGTAAGTTCTTTTTTTTGTTTACCGATTTTTGCTAAATTGGTTTTTAGATTATTTCAAATATTATATCTACATTGATTTAGGTACGGTAGTTGTTAATATCCTGTTAGAGTAACATTTTTAAAAACTGGCATCCTAACATTAACATCCAGTAGAGAAGGGTCGTGTTAAAACATCTTTATTTACAAAATCATTTTCGCCCCAAAAACAGATTTCCAATTCTTCAATTTAATATATTGCTCCAGCCAAGTCCGATGACTCTCCGTAAACTATATCGGATCTAAGTTGAATTTTCAGAATGATTATTTCTCCACCGGCTTCACCAACTTCACGATATAAATTTGGTATCAAGAATACTTGGATTCCCTTTTTGCTATGCTGTATTTATTTCAACAGTTATAAAAGTTAATTTCTAAAGTTAAATCAATTAATCATTATTTCAAAAATACGAGAACTAACATAAAAGAATTAAAATAAATCAAATGAAAATAAAATGACGTTATATAAATTCGATAATTATTGGAGATTGATACGAAATTTCGGTTTTTCGGCTAAAATTTCTTGGAGGAAGTATGAAATGAATGAAATTTCGTCTATTTGTATATCGTGACTGTTTATGCCACCAGATATGCTTTTTAATTCCAACAAAAAAATCAGGACTATCTTTAATGGAATATGCCCTCAGTACTTCAAGATATAATTACTGATCGGAGAATGTTATCGATGCAGTAAATTCTATCGTAAGTCTCTGAACGGCGAACGATATGAGAAATAGAATTCGCTGGAGGAACAACTTCCTACAATGTAGCAAATTTATTAAACCGGACTTTATAGCTGTGGGTGCCTATGGTCTGTTTCATGTAGAAAAATTAATGTTACACGGAGAATAAAACACTTTTTACTTTAAAAGACAAAACAAGTATTGAAGAAAATATGGAAATGTAAATAATATAGTATTAAATAAGACTATCTGAAATAATTAGAGTCGTTAAATGTTTATTAATTTAGCTCTTCACTTATATTGCGCACCCAGGAGACTACTATCATAAGTATTATTATATAGCTAGATATATTGAATATCCTAGACACCTTACTCATTATGAAGGTAAGTAACCAACATAAAAACACTCATTTTCATCAAATGAGACATTGGCGTTCAACATCCTTGGTGATAGGTAATAGTTCGTGAGCGCGACAGTTTTCACTTTGGCTGTTAGTACTTTTTCTGCAAAATGTGCTCCGATGCGCATGAAACTTTCGGAAAAAACGAATTAATTTATCGCTTCTATATTACAAGTATGTTGTTTAAGGCTGAATAGACATAATGATGTCTATTCATCCTTCACCATTATGTCAAGATTCCTTTGGTATCTTTCTAACTATAGAAGCTCATTATATTCACATACAAGTAAACAGTTTTCACTACAAAAAATTGGAATCTAGAACTCTTTCATGTAGAAACATATTTTATTGAAATCGTGGACTGCAATCTGGATAATTCAATATTGTGGGAGATTAAGAAACTGTGTAACATTTGTCACAACTGTCGTACGGTTTAGCCAGCTGTTTTTTAACCAACCTTACTAACATCAGGTGTTGCCTCGATAGTGCATTCTGCAACAAGTTGGATAAACACTACTTTAGGCACGAGTTTGATTTGGCATGTGTTTAATAAACGACTGACTGGAGAATTTTTTCAACGCGTTGCAACTATATATTTTCTACGTTCTTAATTTTTGGGTACATTTTTGCAAAATTTCACGAAAATATTTACCATGTATTAAAATCTTGTGACTCACGTACCGAAAACGTCCTAACTGGCAGATATTCGCATATCTAAGAACACTGAATGCCAAATGATCAGATGCGATTGGTTCTAAACCTTCTTTTATTATATGAACTAGATTTGCGGTCGACTGTCGCTGATTTGATAAACGGGATGTATCAAGACTTCCTTTAGTTGACTTGTCTTCGATCTGTATAGTTGACTTGTTTTTGTCCTTTGGCTATGGGATTTGACGCCCGTTTATATTGTATTCGCAGGGTCTTTTGCATAGTTTTTAATTATTGTTGTTGGCTATTTTTGCATAATAAAAACTGTGTATTGTTATTGGCCACAGCATGAAAGGCAATAACTAGGGGGCAGTTTTTGAAGAATAATCCCCGAAAATAATTTAAACGTTTGTAGAGACTGTACCGAGTAGTAATTGTCGTAAGGACTTGGGATGAAAAAGTTTATGACTAATCTTAGAATTCTGTTTTTGAGTAGCTGCACAAATAACACATTTAGTTGTTAAATTAGGTTCCCTTAGAATAATACTAACACTGCCATCAAACATTGTAAAAATCGTGTAAAATTCTACCTCAGAGCCCTTTTTAATGCTGCCTGCATCCCGTTTATCAAAAGAAGGTTTAGAACCAATCGCACCTGATCATTTGGGATTCAGCGTTCTTAGATATGCAAATATCTGCCAGTTAGGACGTTTTCGGTACGTGAGTCACAAGATTATAATAAATGGTAAATGTTTTCCTGCAATTTTGCAAAAATGTACCAAAAAATTAAGGACGTAGAAAATATATAGTATGCAACACGTCGAAAAAATTCTCCAGTCAGTTAAATAATTAAGCATTTTTTTTTAATTTGTTCATTCATTTTGGAGTCCTCTGCACGAATTAGTTTGACATTTCTTTTCATAAACAAAAATTTTAACGGTGTACAGAATAAAATCGAGGATTGACCTACAAAACTTCGCCGCTGTCACATTTCACCAACTTAAGTGGTACAAAGGCTACCAGAAAGAAATATTTATCCATCCTCATTATATCTCATTCGAGAAATTTTTGTTTCCTAAAGACTATGATTACCACTACCATCGAAACTCCACTTGCAAAAGAGTTTTGTTTTTATTTTGGAGTGAATATTTAAAAGTTGTGATAAACTATGGGCAGTTTTTTCTAATATTTCCTGTAGATAATATTCCGCTGAGATATCTTCTTCTAATTTGGAAGGTAAAATTTGATTTTTAAAATTTGTTAAAATATGTTTACTTGGAAGGCACTCCTTATGATACTTATGAAATGAATAAATAACACTTCATATAACAATTCAAATTCAAATAACAGTTTCAGTCAAGCTCTGAAGAAGTCAACAGGATGACTGGCGAAACGTCAGCAATTTCGACTGAGCAAAAGTCGACGCAGGAGGAATCCAGAAGTTTTGTAAAAAGCAAATAACACTTCGCTTTCAAAGATTTAAGTCTATAATTAATGCCAAAGCATTTTGTGTCGTTATACAATACTGGAGTTGAATGGTGTTGGCGCATGTCTAAGAAATTTCTGCGGTAAAGTTTATCTCTTCAGCCGGTTATGAAATTAAGATATCTGCAACCCATCGTTTTTTAGTTTTACGTGACGATTTATTGAAAGGTTTAACGGGCCTGCCACGCCTAGGTCCGGCATATCTTCATCTTGCGTTCTTGATATATTAGCAAGTTCATCAGGAAGTGAACATTCACAACTGAGCCAGTCACCGTAACTCTTTAAAAAATATGATCTATTTCTTATGCCACTTCTAAATTTAGTTTTTACAGTGAAGCAGAAAAATTTTATTCTTTGTTCTAAATATTGAAATGTATCATTTGGAATGACTTCAAAGTTCAATAAGTACTTTATTTTGTTGATAATACACCTTTGTCTCATTCGCACAAAACTACTCGTTTATAAGGACCGAGTTTCTGATGCAAACATTTTAGAAGGTCAGAGTAGCGAATTGTAGCGGCTAATTTTCTTTAAATAGGAAACGTAAGTATTAAAAATTCTTCTAAAAGTTTAATAATCTCACGAATGTTTTTTTTTTTTTTAATTCTCCTTTAATTTTCCTGTATTCATTTTTTTACATATTTTAAGACGCTTGTTAAAAAAACTTAATAACTTCGACAAACCAATAAAGAATAAAACATGAAAAAGTACGGACCTTGAGGTCGATTTTCCATTATGGAAAATTAATTTTTGGATTCTATCTAAATTGTTGTAACATCGTCTTCACAAACGAATATTGGTACATAAAGTAAACGCTTTTATTAAAAACGTAAACATTGACTGTCAATTGAAACAAGGCGAGTTGATTGCAACTGAAGATTCCATCAGTTTTTACAATTTCTGACAGCCCTTTTTATCACGAAATAATATTATGAGGTGAAGTGAAAATTTTTAATTTTGTCCATGGTGTGGAGCGCTGTGTGACGTCTCCAACTCTTTTATCACACCGCAACAGTTTAAAATCTGGGAAGAAGCGTTCAAACCGAGCCTGTCGTAACGCCACTGCGTTATGATAGTCTGATATTGCTTATTTTTCGCCCACGAATGTCGTTCCGCCTACAGACGCGGCGTGAACTCCGACCTTACGCGGCCCAACAATTCCATTCCGGAGACCCCGGAGGTCGTCTCCGACAACGTTCTTGTTCACGTGTTGTTCCGTGCCTGTTTCGCGTTTTTATTTTATCCGGAGATTTGCCGTCTTGCCGTACGGTCGTTATACTGCCATCTGGATGATATGCGGAGCGTGAAAGAGCATTTCAAGACAAAAGCGTGTTCGGCTTGTCATTCAATAACAGTTACGCCGATCGATTCGTGAACGTTCGTTTTGTAATTTGAAAGTGGAAAACGGAATAGATTTTACGAGAGGAGGAGGAGATCGAAAAATATGAGTAGTAAATTTGGGAAGCTAGGCTCAGCGGGTACTTTCGTAGCACGACAATGCCGTTTGATCAATACCTAATTGATAAATGGCGCGGAATAATAAAACCGGGTATTCCCTTCAGTATGTTCGTCGACGACCACAAAATTAATACTCGTAGAAGGCAGATATATAGTACACGAGTCTTTTCACTCACGGAGAAAGAGAGACAAAAAGAGATTATTGCGCATATCTACGGATACTATTAAATCATCGTAATATCAGGATTATTTTCGATCAAATTTATATTTACACAAGAAACAGCATT